ACAACCCACTTCTTCGGATGCATCCGAAGAAGTGGGTTGTAGCCCACGAAAGCTTATGCTCTAATAAATTTGTTAGTCTCTAAGGTGCCACAAGTACTCCTGTTCTTTTTGCGGATACAGACTAACACGGCTGCTACTCTGAAACCTGACTAATGTAATTTAATTCCAACAGATGCATAATTCAAAAAGTAAACAAACATTTTGTTATTATTTGTGAAAATTAAGGGACTAGCAGCAGTGGAACCCAAACTATTTTATTTTACAAGCACCTGTTGGGTATACTTAGGACAACGCAGTGAGTTATCCCACTAGCTACCTTAACTCTGGCCTGGAGCGACGTCATTCTCTAGGTGAAGGGACTATTCAGTCTCCACACCAGCTCTTGAACACAGACAGCAAATTATACCAAATTTCATGACAGATCTAAGTATCAGAGGGGTAGCCATGTTAGTCTCTACCCACAAAAACAACAAGGAGTCCGGTGGCACCTTAAAGACTAACAGATTTATTTGGGCATAAGCTTTCGTGGGTAAAAAAGTGGGGTTTTTACCCACAAAGGCTTATGCCCAAATAAATCTTAGTCTTTAAGGTGCCACCGGACTCCTCGTTGTTTAGGACAGATCTGTAATTCCAAACTCTATCCAATGAAGACTGTGCTTAGACTACCAAGCTCATTTCACTTGGATTTTTTGATGTACACTCAGATACCATGCATTTTACAAATACATGTAATGATATTCTTTCCCTTCACTTTAATGTGTTTTTCTTTGTCTCTTCCCCCCCACACACACTTTTTTTTTTTTTTTGAAACAGCAATTTAAAGGAAAATGAAAGTACAAAGAAAAGTATGACACTCAACATATCATTGGTATGATAAAACTGGCAAAATTCCAAAGATCTATATTGGTCAAATGGAGTTATAAGAATTAATTCTTAATTAAAATATTAAAGCATACATGCAGCCAATTAATATGCACACCAAAAACAAGCAGCACTGGGCATGCTTAGTAGACAAGACACAACCCACATTCTGAATTAACTTGACTTGCAAAATTGATTTCATTTTTAAATCAAAGCCGGTTTTCAGCATAAAAAGAGTTTAAGCAAAATAAAGATGTTTGCCTTCCTAGAACCCGACTGCAGGAAAACCAATTAGAGGGGACTGTGATTGTGGCCAGCCATTATACTGGGGGGAGTACAGGGTTTTCTGCAAACTCTTTCCTATTCTGCACACCTCTGTGGACACAATCTGGTTCTTAGAAAGATTCGCAAGATACATCTGTTTGCCTAGCCTTTTTTCAATTAACTGAACTATAAATTCCTGGGGTCTCAAACAACCGGCCAGATCCTTCTTCATTCTCAGTCTTTAGTGTTCCTCTTATTTGAAATGTTAATGGAGCAATTTATGTCCCATTAAATACATGCAGACATAGAGATGGGTATCTTATAAATGCATGTAATAACAGTTACAGTTTCAGGGTACCTGTTAACTGTATTTGCACCCTCCCCGCTCCCATGGTCGACTTCAGGAGCGCCCAGTCAGGTCTCAGTTCTCCAGCTGTCACCTGTCTCTAGGTAGGGACCCTTGTACTACTCCCTTCTGACCAGGGGTTTCAAGGCTCCACAGCAACCTGCCATACACTGAGATAACTGCAGCAAGCCAGCTTGCCTAATGGCCAGCATCTGTGACTTGCTTTCTCCCCGAGGGCTATAAACAGTGTATTGCCAGCAGTTACCACACAGATCTTTCTAAACAAGTACATTACAAATAAGCATTACAAAGAAAACATATAAAAAAACAACACAAGTTCCTACAGGCTTATTAAAAGTCTACCAGAGATCACTCCTAACCCCTCAGGGGGTGGTACCTCTCTGAGGTTGTTTACAGTTTCAGCAACTTGCCTTAATCACGCCTCACCCCACCCATTTTTAGTTCCTGAAGGAGCTGTGGTAACCTGTCCCCATGAATTTATAAACCATTCATAAATTTAATACAATAGTTCCCAAAGATACTGCATGGAGTTGCAATGTCTGCAACAATAATAATATTCAGAAAGCAAAAACAATACGATCAAATTGATTTAAACCAAATTTATTAGATAGGAAGTACTCCTAGTCTGAGATCTTGTATGCTAAGTTGTAGCAAATTTTACAGTTGATTTATAAACTCTTGAAAAAAAAGATTTATAATTGAAATGCTCACAGGCACCGCCTTAATTATAGCAGTGTGAATATGCACATATAAATTGTATAAAGAAGATCTATTTCATATTTAAAGCCAGCTTCACATAAAAAAAATGGGCAATAATCCATGACATGATGTCATCAAGTGAAGGACTTTCACCATAAAACACATGCAAAGCCAGCACAACAAATGTAGCCCCCAGTAAGTTGAAGAGTGGAATTTCTGCTTATGATCTCCAACCCACCACCCCTGCCTCCCTGGGGTTGCACAATGTACTGCTAACATGCAACCAGGGTGGAATAGAATTAATGTGTGTGGCATTTATTCGTATTAAATAAGACAGCTGCAGTTTCATTCCTAATTCATACTACCTGAAGCTAGAAGACAGATTTAATCACAATGCTAAGGCAAGTATATCACGGATTCCAAGACTCACTCCTTCACTAACCATTATCTCCCAAAAAGATACGGAAGTCAAAGAGTAGGAATTCTCAGAAGTTTGTTTAGAGGTGAAATATATTCAGTAATAGAATAACTTCCCAACCAGTGCTTCTGCCATGTCAAACTGGACTGGAAAAATTAATGAAATGATTACAGTGAGAAATTTTGGTAAATTTCGGATGAAGTGAGCTTTAGCCCATGAAAGCTTATGCCCAAATAAATTTGTTAGTCTCTAAGGTGCCACAAGTACTCCGTGTTCTTTTTGCTGATACAGACTAACACGGCTACCACTCTAAAGAAAGCTTGTGACCTATAAATATAATTAGAACTTTCAAGTCCCCTGTTCTTGGATTTTAAACTCTGAGGGGCTGATTCTCTCCTCAGTTAAGCTTGTGACATACACAAGTAATTTCACCACAGTCAACTGAGTAAAAGTGGTGTAAAATTACCATGAGAGGAGAATAAGATCCTGAGTGGGGAAATTTTAAGCCTCATCTGAACTCTTGGATGGTCAAACCTGACTATTTTGTATCGGCTTATGTATTTTTCTTTGGTTTTTTTCCTTATTACATTCAGCACAGGGCTCAGTAGGATCCCTGCTGCTGCAAAAGAAATACTTGCCTATGGTCTCCCTCATTCTTTCAGTCCAAGATTGAGGATCATGCTGTAATTCAGCATGCAGGCAAATGCTGCACGGCCAGGATAACAATATAATATATGCAGTGCTTAATTTGCACCAGGGCTTGCCAGGGCTGAGCCCTGGCACCTCTAGGCTTGGCAGTTCATAGCCCAGGCACCTCTGGGCTTGCTGCATCAGTTATGAATGTAAAAAAGTTGCTTGAGCCCTGGCACCAAATTCCTTCAGCCCTGGCGCCTCTTTCATTACAAATTAAGCGCTGAATATATGGGGATGATAACTTATGTTGGTGAAATGCTACAGCATAAGAACAAATAAATTACTCCTGTTTTGCAAAAGGCATATTGGTTTTGCACCTCTATGTTTGATGCCAGTTAAAGTGCCTCAACTATGTCTTGGCATCCATCTATAGCAGCAATGTGAGACCATTAATTGCCTCGTTTTATTCCATCAGCATTCTCAAATTTAAAATTGTTCTTTTCATGCTAAATCTGATAGCCTCTCATTAAAAAGTTATTAAAAAATAGAGCTTGACTAACCTGCTTGTTATCCTTCTGGTGAGCTTGAACAAAACACTGTGTAAACACCTGTATTATGGTCATTACTTCTGGCGTTCCACCGGTTTCCAGTAGTGCATTCCTGAGCATTGAAAAGTTAAATTATGACAGGTCAGATTATTAGTCTGTTAATCACACAGCTTTTAACTGGAAGAAGGTAACGAGAGAGTGAGCATGCTTTCTGTATTGTTGCCTTGAGCTGTGTCTGAACTCATGAAAACTGAAGAAACTAACTTCACTTTGACATTTGTTAAAGAACACACACACACCCTTTGTGATAAAGACAACATTGTCCTTTGACAAATATTTCACACTTTGAGCTTAATTTTTTTTTTTTTTGCAGTTGCGACCCATGCATTTAGAGGTCTAAATGGAGCAGCCACGTACTTAGGTGTCTATATGATAGGGTTTGCATCTGCAACAAACTGTAGGGAAGGGAAAAAAGGGCAAAATTAAAAAGCAGGCTGGCATAAAAAAATGGCCTTTTAAGACTCCAATCCTGCAAAGCACTTAAGCACAAACTTAACTTTAAGCTTCAATTGAACTACTCACATACTTAAAATTTAGCACGTGCTTAAGTGCTTAGCTGGATCAGAGCCCATAAGCAGTTCCAGGGCTGGCCTACAAGAGGAAAGTCAGAAAAGTTAAGTCGAATGAACTAAAGGTGTGACGTCAACGTGCCTAAGTTAAAGCATATTAAACCCCCACATGGATGCTCTCATTCAGGAGTAAGCGGTCTCCATTTGCTAACCCTGATAATCCATGATTCTATGAAATTACAGCTAAATAAATGCACTTTACTCCTAAATTAGATCATCTGCATGGGTGAGGAGGAAGGTACTTTAACATGCTCTAATTTATTAGTATTGACTTCATACCTTTAGTCAATTTGCCTTAACTTTCCCAAATGTCCCCATGTAGACATGGCCTAAAATTCAACAAGTAGAATCCACTTGGCCATGTTGCAAGGGGCAAGAATAACATTCACATTGCCTAAAATTGTTCGTTGTTCACAGTTGCTCTCTTACTGTAGGTTCCAAGAAGAAAGTTCATATTCAGATTAGGCAATGAAAAGATTTAAAAAATTGAAAAGACCGCACAAGGAGATGGAACTTTATCATTTAGTAATACAGTTACAGCTAAGTCATGAGATGTGACTGGTTAGTGATTTAGAAAAGTAAACAGCAACATGAACAGAGATGAATGTTGTACCAAAATCATATTGTACAGCTGCAGTTGGTACAGCAGTACCATAATCAGAGCCTCGTGCATTCCGCAATGATTTCAGTTGTGAAATCACAAAATCAATCCAGGCAGTCTCATATGTCAGGCAGGTGAAACGCTCTAATTGTCGCTCCACTGGACATAATCAGTAAACCTGAGCAAGTGGGGCAGGCACTGTAAAGGCAGCTAAAGCTAAGGGCAGGGAAAGCTATTTTCCATTCCCCTCTTTGAAAGGAATGTAATGATAAAAAAAGCAGATTCTCCATTTCTCCTGGGAACAGTGTAGTAAGTTCAGGGTAAGAGGTCTAGTGGGATACCACGAGAATCAGTGTTAGTGTCTTATTTAACATTTTCATTCATGATCTGGAAGAGGAGTACATATTATATTGCTAAAATTCAGAAATGATAGTAAATTGGAAGTAGATGTGATCACCAGCAAAAACAGAGAAACACCATAAAGGAACCTCCAGAGGTTAGATACATGGGCCGAAAACAATTAAGTAAGATTCAACTTGGAAAAACAAAAGCTAATATGTCTGGGATAAAATAATCCAAAACACAAACTCAATGGGGAGGATGTGAAACATGGGAAGCAGTAATGCTGAAAGAGACAAAGGGGTGGACAGCAACTCAGACATGAGTTTCTAATAGAAAATGGCTTCAAAAAAGCTAATGCAATTTTGGACAGTATACATAAATAAATATGAAGCAAGGAAATAATAATCCTTCTCTAACAATATCTCTCTAAGCACTCTGGTGTGACTGTACCTGGGGACTATTGTGTTCATTTCCGGGTACAACTTTACCAAAAGGATAATAATAAACTGGAGCAACTCCTGACAAGTACAACAAAAATAAACATGAGGCTGTAGGGACTGACTTATCAGAAAAGATTAGAGATAGCTAATATGTGTAGCTTAGTTTAGTAATGACTAAGAGAGCAGGGAACATACTTTTTCAAATTAAAAAACAAAACAGTTACTCACCTTCTCATAATTTTTGTTCTGCAAGATGTGTTGCACATTTTCCTTAGACTGTAGGGGTGTAATGTCTCATGCATGAGTGCTGGAGAGTTTTCCCTAGTGATACCAGTAGGAGCAATCCTGCCCATTCCTGGTTCTCCTCATGGAGTGCATAAAGGGCAGAGCCACCCCACCTATCCTTCATTTCCTTTGCAATGGAATGCCAATGGTAGATTTTGATGCATTGGAGAAGAAGGGTGGGTCATGTAATAAATATATGCAACACATCTCGAAGAACTATAGTTATGATAACCATTTTTAATTCTTCAAGTGCTTGCATATTCCCATTATACTGTAGGTGACTCTCAAACTGTTCTAAAGGTAGTGGGGGTTGGAGTCTCATCAGAAGTGGGACAAGTAGGACTGCTTTTCCCGTATTTGCATCTTTCTTTGATGCAGCAGTAAATGCATAGTGTCTAGTGAAAGTATGGACAGAAGACTATGTTACTCCCCTGCGCATGTCCAGAATAGGAACATCTCCCACCAATGCTGCAGAAGCCAGATGCACTGTGGTGAAGCATGCTGTCAGTTTCTAAGCAGAGTTGTGCCCTTGACAGTGTAAGAGAAGGTTACTCACCTTGTGCAGTAACTGAGGTTCTTCAAAATGGTTGTCCCTGTGGGTGTTCTGCTTTAGGTATCTTGGTGCCCTGCACTTCTAATTGCAGATCTGTAGTAGCAGTGCCCCGGTTGGCCACACACACATGGCAGCCGTCTTGCGCTAATCCGAGCAGTTACCCCGTGTGCGCAGCCAACAGTCCCCCAGTTCCTTCTCTACCTCAGAGGATTGACGTGAAACTCCGAAGTAGAGGGGGTGGGGGGTAGTGGGGCACCCACAGGGACAACCATCTCGAAGAACCTCAGTTACTGCACAAGGTGAGTAACCTTCTCTTCTTCTTCTAGGAGTATCCCTGTGAGTGCTCCACTTTAGGTGACTGTAGAGCAGTGACCCTCAGTGGAGGGGAGGGACTTTGGAGTTGATTTATATGCGGTGGAGAGCACCAAGAGTCCAAACTGAGCATCTGCAGCTGATTGTTGTTCTAATGCATAGTGTTTGGTAAAGGTATGGGCTGATGCCCCGGTAGCTGCTTTACAAATGTCTGTGATGGGTACATTATTGAGAAAGACCACAGACATGGATAGTGCCCTGGTGGAGTGTGCGCGAAGTCCAGAGGGAGCTTGCAGATTATAGTCTGGGCAACATAACTGGATACATGTAGATATCCATTTAGATAGTCTCTGCTTGGAGATGGTTTGGCCCTGGAAATGTTCTGTTGTGGATACAAATAGTCTGGATGATTTTCTAAATGTTTTTGTTCTTTCTATATAGAATGCTAGCGCTCTGCGGACGTCTAGCGTGTGAAAGGAGGCCTCCTTGTTGTCAGCATGCGGTTTGGGGAAAAATACAGGTAAGTAAATGGGCTGGTTGCGATGGAAGGGGGGGTGACCTTGGGTATGAACTTAGGATGTGGTCGTAGGATTGGCTTTGAGGAATGTGGTAAGGTGGGTGTGCCATTAGGGCACCCAGCTCTCCCACCCTTCTTGCTGATGTGATAGCTACTAGGAAGACGACCTTCATGGATAGGTGCAACAACAAACAGGTCGCTAGTGGTTCAAAGGGTTTGCCTATGAGGGCACGGAGAACAAGACTGAGATCCCACATGGGGGTGTGGTCCTGTAGTGTCAGATAAGTATTCTCTATGCCCTTGATGAAGTGTTTAGTCAGCAGGTGAGCAAAGAGCAAGTGAGCAAAGAGCATCTTAGAGTGGAAGGAGGTGATAGCTGCTAGATGCACTCTGAGTGAGCTAGTAGATAGGCCCAATTATTTTAGTGTCAATATGTCGTCAAGGATTATGGGTAGTGGGGCCGACTGTGGAATAATCTGCTTGTTCTGGCACCAAGTACAGAATCGTTTCCACTTGTGCGTGTATGTCTTTCATGTGGTCAGCCGCAGACTGTTCAGTAGTATATCTTGTACTTCCTTAGAACAGTGTGTCTCAAGTCCCATCATCCATGGATTAGCCAGGCCTTGAGATAGAATACTGAAATGTTGGGGTGCCGGAGGCGTCCTGCGTCAGCAGATGAACCACAAGGGGAAGGGTTCGTGATGGTGTCACTGCCATCTGTTTCAGGTATGGAAACCATGTTTGTCTGGGCCATGTTAGTGCAATGATGACGACCCTTGATTTGTCTTGCTTGATCTTGTGGAGGACATGGCTCAATAGATGGATTGGGGGGAAGGCATACAGTAGTGGGGCTTCCCATTTCAGAAGGAAGGCGTCTCCCAGAGAGTCGTGCCCCAGTCTGGCCTGAGAGCAGTATTGCAGGCACTTTGCATTGTGTGCTATTGTGAAGAGATCTATTGAGGGGAATCCCCATTGTCTGAATATAGTTTTTAGTATTCCAAGATCTATCTCCTATTTGTGGGTTTGTGAAAAGTTCCTGCTTAGGTGGTCTGCTGTTGCATTCTGGCGTCTGGGCAAATTGGATGCTATGATGTGTATGTTGTTGGAGATGCACCACTGGCAGAAGCAGACTGCTTCTGCACAGAGGGAATGAGGTCGGGCCCCTCCTTGGTGATTTACATAAAACATAGTCACCAAGTTGTCCATAAGAAACTGGACAGTCCTATTGCGGATCAGAGGGAGAAAGTGCTGGCAGGCGTTTCAGACTGCCCTTAACTCCAATAGATTTATGTGGAGACTGGACTCTGCTGGGGACCAGCGACCTTGGATGGTATTTTCATACAAGTGTGCCCCCCATCCCATCAGAGAGGCATCTGTGGTGATTGTTACAGTTGGAGGTTTTTGTTGGAAGAGGACACTTGAACAAACGTTCG